TACTAAGGATATTAATTATTATTCTCTATTCATGTATTTTACATTGTCCTTACCAAATGAATAGAGCCATTTTATATTATTGCATTTGGATTCTAAGTCAGGGTGGGGGGCTAAGAAAGTAAATTCCCTTTATATCCTTTAAACTGGAAAACAAGCCAGCACTTAGTTTCTCAGTGAGACAATATTTGAAACATTCGTCACGTAAGCTACAGCCATTTAATTATAAAAAATGCAATGTCATAGAAAAATAGTGCATTACTCAAGAAATAATTTGTGATCCTTTTTGATATCTTTTATCTGAAAGCTAGCAATGGCTAGAAGCTCAACAAAGATTCCCCCTCTAGCATGGGAAGTGAGTCCATTGGGACATGAAGTATATGGACACTTATTTTTTTGAATCTCAAAACATCTTTAAATGGGGAATAAGCTCCAAATCACTCAGCTGAGGCAGTGGACAAGGCACTTCTGTATGTGTTCTATATCAGGCCTTTTAGCTCAAAATCCCAGGTGCCTATACATCCAGGAAGAGTTTTTGTGGATGGTTGTCTTGGTATTCCCTAGCTATTTTCCATCCTGGCTGTCACCTTTCAAATTGCATCACCGCAGTTCTCACCCCGTGTCATCCGAAATCTGAGTCCACCTGTCTCTCAGCAACATTTGGAGGTAAAGTCAGGAGCATGTTCTGTGACAACAGTGCAAGCCAGGTCCATGTCAGCCAAGTGACTGTTCTCCATCTCCACCCCTGTTACACAGAATTGCTCCCACCACATAGTCCCTCTTCAAAAAGGTGTTTAGGCAGAGCAGTAATTGTAGTGAAGCTTTTATAAAAGAGTATTTACAGGCCAGCAGCTATGCTTCTGTTGGAGCATCTTGCTAAGTAAATCCCACAAGACGTTAAAGCTGCGAGATAAACACCAGTGGTTTTAAAACTAAATAAACACAGCAAATCATTGTGAAAGCCAATTAAGGAAAGTAAAAAACATGTGATGAGTGCTACTGATGATCACTACTGAACAGCAATAATAAGAACTACGGTGTTCAGCAGTAAAGTTTTCTTTAAATGTCTGATAACTTACAAAGTCAATATAAAATTAGACTTTTCAGATATTCCCAAGATTTCCAGGGTTTTAATTCTAAAGAAGAAAGCTTCTTTAGTGAAACCCTAATGCATTCCTGAGGAATAAGAGCATTGAGAATGATAATAAAAGCTACCTGCAGATTGCCTAAGAAAGCAATAAATCTTCTATTCCTTACAGCTATCATTGTAGCTACTGCTACCTTTCTAAAACAAAACAGGCAAACTTAAAAGGACCAGTTCCTGGCACTCTCTGAAGCTGAACACTCTAAGTCAGTCAACAGCAAGACTTTCATGAATGCCATAAAGACAAGGAGTCACTCACGTTCTTCCTTATATGCATTTGTGACCGGAACAATTCTGCCAACACAAATCTGAATTCATGAACAAACCAAAAAGCAAAAAAGCGCAACCCAAAACAACCTCACGCCCCGCCCCCCAACCTATACACCCATATCCCTTTAACACCAATCTTGTACCATCAAGAAAGAACAGGCCTTTTTTACTTCTTGCACTGTAAACAGGGAGTACGGATAATGGTCAGCCTCCGATTCCTATGGGGAAGCTCTAAGCAGGCAGACAGGTGTAGGAGAGAAAGGCAGAGAGTGCAAGGGAATGGTAGAAAAAATCACGATAGTCTCATGGATTTGTTTGTTATTTAAATCCTTTTTTTTTACCTCCAGTGTTCTGCTGCAAGGGAAGAATTGATTATAGAATGAAACAAGAATGCAAGCCCGGAAACAAATAAGCCATCAGCAAGGAGGATGGTATTAAGAGTGAAAACCTGCAAGAAGTGCCTATGAAACAATATCCTAAAGTCCTAAGGGGGAGAAAAAGAATCCCTAAGCCAAAATAAAACAGCTGCATAGAAGCACATGATTAGTGTGAATGCAAAGCAGGTTACAATAATAACTTGGAGTGCTCTGACGGACCTGCTTCCACTGGCAAATATCCACTGCACGCTGGCCTGTTAGTTGGGTCCTGGGCAATGTGCAACACACATAGAAAATGAAATGGTTAAAACAGAGTATGTGCCATTCTGCATTTTATTACAAAGTCTGTTTCTAAGTAGGTATCATAACTCCAACTTAACTCATTATTTAAAGGTTAAAGCACAGACACTCAACAGATTTTCTTAGACTTCATACTTATAAAAGAGAGCAGTAATTCTGTCATTTTTTTTCTTCATTATCCATTTAGCACTGATAATGAGGTGGGAACCCAACAACACTTAATTCTATGAAGAAACACTGACATTATAATTAGCTTCAAAATGTGCAAAATAATTCAAGCAAGCCAGCTTAATTTTAGTTTCTTTCCCCCCATTTTGACTAAAGAATCATTTTTGGTTAATAAATCTGAAGGTTGGCTGTAACTTACACAATACAAAAAAAACCCTGTTTTCAATCCTACCAGTGTTCAGCTACTGAGGTGAATACTGGAGTTCTATTTTTAAATTGTATGAATGTCTTAAAAAAAGTCCAAGGTATAAGAAAATGTACAGACTGTATATTTTTTAAATAAACCATTAAGCTTTATAAAAATCTGTTGTTAACTACTGCTACAAGAACAATTGTAACATCACCTTCTGTAGGTCTTTCACAAACAAAAAAATATTTTTTAATTAAATTATAAATTATTCTAAGTTAGTGAAGTACTATAAAGTACTCTGCATACAAAAGAAAAAGGATTCTGAGACAGAAAAAACACCTGATAAGGTGGTACTGAAACATTTGATTTACACCCTTAAGAGAGCTCAATGAGGATTTTCAGTGTGTTCAGTGATCATATAAAAGAAAAGCTCAGTGAAGACATTTTGAAATGCTACATTGGGATGCATTTGTTTTAAGTAGAGATCAAACCACATGTGTTTGGGACTAGTAATGGAATTTTTCATTATCATTCTTCTGACTACAGCCTAATTCAATTTCAGAGCATGCTTAAATAAATGCTCCTTTTGACTTCAAAGTATGGATTCATGTACTGAACTGCTGCTTGATTGGGGAATCATGTCGGTTTTGGCGAAGATAAAACTGCTTTTCTCCAAAGGTATTAAATAGTAACATTTGCTCTCATTCACACTGAAAAATATACATAGAGAAATATTTACCTATACCATAGCAAATTAGCAGTATCATGGATAGGGATGAATTTGTAAGAAAATGAACTGATATTGAGCTAATTCCTGGGAAATACTGCAGCGGCTGATATTTTACCCACTTTCTCACTAATAATGGACACATGAAAATGGATCAGGTGGCTCTTCCCCTCACTTAGAAAACTAGATGGTGATGCACAGCTACTTTTGTGGAAAATAAGCATTTTTGCCAAGGAGAAGGGATGCCCTCCATGCCTCCTTTTCCCAGAGTACCAACCCCTTCTCACAGCTCAACAAGGGCACAAGCCACAGGACAACAGATAAAAAACACATGCCATGCAAAAGGCAGCCAAGAAAATGAAGGCCTGGGCTCTTCTTCCACAGCCATGACTGCTGGCACCTCCATCACAGTTTGAGGCAGGGTGATGGTAAGAAGCCTGGTGGGGAGCACAGGGCAGCTGAAGGACGGGACTGGTGGTACACCCCTTGGCCCTTGGAAGCAAACAGGCACCCTTGCTGTGTGGCCTGTGGGGAGGGAACAGCCCATGCTCCATTTCCACATCAAAAACCCCACACATAATTCAGGGAAAATGATTATTATTAATAATAACATATAAAAGTGAGAAACTTTCATTTCCCAAGCTTGAACACATGGGACTAGCAATACTTCTCTTCTCTAACTCAGGTCGGGGGCAAACCCAACTAATCATCAGTGTTGCACACATTTATGAAAGGGTCAGAGAAAAATGCTTTTATAACAGGGAGAGCATCATCATACAAAGTCATGACAAGAGGCCATAGGAGAAGTTTAGCTTTGCTCAGTTTGGAATGATGCTTCTGAAAACCAGAAAAAGTCTCCTCAGTGCTCCTACCTAGCCCACTCTCTCCCTTTTTCTCCATTCCACCTTCACAAGTGCACACACTCCCTCCAACTTCCGCTTGGCAGCAGTGGTCCCTTCCCTCTGCTGTTGCTGAAACGCCAGGAGAGACAACCCTCTCTGGATCCTTTTCCCTCCGCATGATGGGCACTGCTGCATCGCATGGTCAACTGATGGTATAAGATGGTACCAAGGCCCTTCACAGTCACCAGTAGCTGGTGACAGGTCTCAGAAATGCATGCATCAGGGTAAATGATAACGCTCAACTGAACAGAACTACTTTAGCTTCCTATGTTATTTCTACAGAAACTGGTATCAACATTAGTTTGAGCTTGCAGCAAAAGAGACTCTTCTGTTTCAGGAGAACAACAGGCAAAGATAGGGATAGACCTAAACCACACACAGAGAAGGTTCTCTAGATTGCACTCCCAAATGAAGCCCATTAAGCAAGTGCTTCTCAGTACCTACTCCTGGATTTCTTGAAGGTAGGATATCCAAAAATGTATACAAAATATTCTAGCCTCATGGGGACATGTGTCATCTTAACAGGTGTCTAGATGATACGAGTTGTATGAAAGAGCAGATGACTGAAGTCCAATACATACAGACCTTTTGAACCAGACAGTTAATTAAAAATTAAAGACAAAATATAAGAAGCTAAAAATGCAAATTATCAAGTAGATTTTGTAAATTTATAGTGATGATATTAGACTAGAGAACCCAAGATGAATCTTACCACTGAGATATGCAGAGGCATATACACAGCACAACCCAAACTAGTACTATAAAACCAGGAAGCAGAATTTTTATAAAGCATTTACTAACTACCAGTATTCCCTTATTTTTTTAGACAATGATATAGACAGAGTAATACAAAATCATGTGAAGAAGGTAATGGCCATTTACAATTTTGGAAAAAAAAAAAATTGCTAAGCAGATGGTCTCATACCTGTTGTACTATTGTTGTTAGTTCCAGACAGAGCTGTATGACATTATTTCTTGTTACTGAGTAATCTGTGACAGCAGCAAAAGGTGATCTAAAAGAAAGAAAAAGGAAAAAGATGTTGAATATTACTAGCATATTCCACTTGCTTTACCAGTGTACAATGCGCTTAATACACATTGCTCCTAGAGATACTAAAATCACACAGAATACCCAAAATGTACTACTAAAATTGTAAAATACAGGCTACATATCCATGAAAAATGTTCACCTCTCCTTGCTTTTGCAGTTTTTAAGTTCCTCTTTAAGAAATTCCATTTATAAAAGCATTATTTCTCACAGCCTTACAGTTTACTTCTGGACTGCCTTTACTCACCCAGAAAAAGCCCACCCTGCCTTCTGCATTTGTTTGGAAATACCCTCATAAAGGCAACCAGAGGCACTGCTTCCACCTGTGATATGAATGGTGTCCAGATGTGAATCAGATCAGAAAGGCATTTGGCTGATTCACTGGGATTCCTGGGAGCTGATCTAATATCTGCTAAAAGTACTGGAGGGACTCAGAAGAAGTAAAATCTTTATCCAAAGGGGAGAATAGCATTTAGAGCCAAAGATGCATCAATGCTCAGAAGCAGCTGCAAAGGCTAAATTGGACGCACAACCTGACATCCCCCCACACTGTGCTACAACCAGAAGTGCTTAGTGAAATCAAAAGCATGATCCAGCATTTGGAGATGCCACCTATATGTATCCTATACCTTAAAACTTCATGTTAGAATGTTTAAAACCCTTGCCTACCTAGAAGTGTGCTTGTTTTCTAGAGGCACTGCTAAAATATATTTGGTTAGTGAGGCTGGCAGTCATCTGATTTCTGTACTACAAGTCTGCGGTAAACTATTAACTCAACTTGGCCTATTTTCTATATTCAAGAAGTAGCCAAACACTAGGCAGGACTGGTATTTTCTCCAAGAGAAGTCAAGATTTTTACAGAATATTACTGAAGTTCAGGACTCACGTTAGCATATTAAAGGATAAAAGGTAACTGAACTGCATGGTTATGAACCATAATTGTGTTTAAAAAAGTACATTAGCCAAGATGTACAAAAACACTGATATTTTTCCTTTCAAAGCTGTAACTGTTGAGGTTCTGAAATCTACCTGAAGCCTTGATTTAAAAAGGTCATGTTCATTTATGAACTCACTTTTATTGAAGATGAATGGAATCAAGCCAGCAAATGGTATTATTTCATTTTAAGTATGGATGTTAATACAATTTGATCCTCAAATTACACAACTGGAATCTATTTGACATTTCAAAGCCTCCAGCATTTCTCTAAACAAAATCGCATGGTAGGCTTTGACTTGTAATACTGCATCATCTTCCCTCATACTTTTACAATTTAGTTTGGTTTCACGGTTCATGAAGAAAATAATGGCATTTTTACCGTCATTGCTCTTAGTGAAGATCGTTAGAAATACCCCAAATAAACTTTGTTGACATTAAAGAACAGGCAAAGGGACTGAGACATTACTCATTTTTGTTACACTGAAATTTACACAGTGAAGATTTACTGAAAACAGCATGTGAAGCAGGCCGCAAGGGTGGCAGCAGGAGGGAGAATACTACTGAAAATCAATAACTAATATGTAATATTTTGAAAAGTGCTTCACAACTTGGAAGGATAAGGAGACAGATCCATGTTATATGGACTTTGCTCCTGCAGAAAACATAACGCATCCTCAGGCTGCCTTCTCTGTAGGTCTCTGTAGCTTATAAACCAACTCCCTCACATCAGTTTCTGCAATGCCTCTCTGGGGTATTGTTGCAAATTGGACCAGTAAAATTGAAATTCCTTTTCATCCCCCCCAGTTCAGACCACTTCCCTGGAGGCAATCTGCATGCACAACTATACAGCCAGTACTGCATATGCAGCTGGGGAAACGGTAAGGACAAAAGCCTCTTTAAATATTTACTACCGAAGGAAAAGTATTTTGGTATTACATCCCAAGGCTCAATTTCCACAGTGAAAGTCCAGCAAGACGTAGTATAACAACACGCTTGCAGTTTCAACCAAAGTATCAACAGAAACTTCATTGTAGGATCCCTGATTGGATTTCATAAGAGACACAGTGTGAAACACCAATCTGACAAAAAACATCTTCATTAATAATATATCCACTGATTGTAATATTAATACAGTACAATACCATTGACTTGCAACAGATGAAACAATATGTATAAATGCAAATAAAGCTTACATACACTACAACTTTTCAACTGGCTGCTAAAACACTTTCCTTCTCAAGGCATCAGAAACACACCAAGTAAAAGGAATTTCTTGTTTAATTAGATCACGTCTCTCTATTTTTTAAAAATTATTTCCTTGGCTCGGCTGAGCCATTTCTACCAACTTCCAATTTCTACTCTTTTCTTTCAGAGCCACATCTTTCACAGTCCCTTGAATCTTTTTAAGTCTCAGGTACCTCCTATGGCTCCAGTGAAGCAAAGTCACTGAGAACAACTGCAATTTTCAACATGTGTGCTGTCCAATTCAGTGCTCTTTAAGTTAAACAAGAACTAAAGAACTGCCTTGGACTGGGGCCATATGTTGCCCCACTTCCTGCTGTGACATTGACCTCAGTGTCCTATTGTCGCACCTCTCAGTCATTTCCAAGACCTTTTTCAACATATATTTCCCTATTCGTGGAACTTTTTTTATTCAATTTCTCTTGTAATTCATTTGTTCTTCCTTCAAACTCTCCCTGTGATTCTCTTCCTTTGCATTACCCACATAAAACACCTTTGTAGCTCCACAGAGCACCTACGTGACCGCATGCCCTTTCCATTCATTTCCTCTTCCAGACCTCTGCTGGTTTCTCCTTTCCATTCTTTGTCTACCCCTTCTACGCCTGATATCTTAAGGAAAGGAGATTTATGCAATCACATCAATACTTCTGCACACACGTGCAGGATGTTTTTGCCCTTGTTCTCACCTTATCTCCTGCCTTCTCCTTTCCAACATTAGAAGCCATTAGCCACTTTCAAACCACTTTCACAAATGGGTGGGTAATAGGTTTCAAGGATAATTAAGTTCATGCATGTTTTGTTATCATGCATGCAGCTGGAAAAGTGGGAGACTCTTAATTTTTCCACTGTGCAACCCCACATTGTGAGCCTGTACTTTATTAGACACCATACATTCCAGCAAGATTAAGAGCTTCTAAATACCTCATTCACAGCAAAAAAAACTTTACAAGTGGGGTGCACTTTTTTTTTAGATGTTAAAGTCAATCAACTTCAAGACCCTAATCTATAGGAAATAAGGTTTCCCTAATACCAGGCATGACAGACCTACTGGTTCTTTTCACTTTTTCTAAACCAGTGTTTGAGATAAATAATAAAACATCTCTGAAACATGAATTTGTTAATATATGTGCAATGCAGGCTGTAACACACATGCATGTATGTATATACTTTTATGAATTGAGACCTAATTAAAATCTTTAGCAGTATCAGGATCTTTCAGAATGAAAACAGATTGTATTATCTAACATCAATTAATTAAGCCACCCTGAAGGACTGGTAGAAAAAACAGCTACATCAACATAGCACAGCTAATTCCCTCACAGAATTAAGAAATAATACAATTCAATAGTTATTAATACTTAGAACTACTGATTGCACATAAAGAAAAATCCTTCCCAAACAATTAAGAGAAGATGTGTATTGTGAAGGAGATGCATACACATGGTATTTCTACATTATCAACATTTTTGGCCTCATATGCTTTAGCCTCCTCATCTGTCTTCTTCATATAACATTTGGTTAGGGGAAAATGATACACAGAAATAACTATTTCACTTTAAAAAGTTGCAATTTGGACAAATACAGACTGCTGTTAGTAAAAGCATTGCCCCAAGTAAAAGTTAATCATATTTCGCCACTAGTTGTAGTACTGAACTATTTTATCACAATAAACATTGTGAACGGTTTAAAACCAATATCACACTTATTTTAGCATCCTTACAAGGGAAAACATCCTCAGAGCAGTTTGATTAGACATGAGAGTCCAAAATCTTTTAAAGAGGCAACCAAATCAGTAATATAACTTGGTCTTCAAAGGTAACACATTAAGCTCAAATAAAAATCTGAATGTACAATATCGTTGCATATATATTTGTGCCAAATCCATCTAAGATTCATAGTTTTAGGCTTTCATGAAACAAATATTTTATTTGTATTTCTAATGGAATTGCTTTATGTAGAATCAGGGAGGAATGCAGTAAAATTCACACCGGATAAAGGAATTCTTCAAATGAGCGCTCTGTTAAACATTTACAGCTGTTCCAGTAGCACAATACTGTTAAGTACCATAGCATTCTTAGGCAGCACTTACTGACAGGTTTGGTATACCATTCAAACAAGCATAAAGGGAAATGCATAAAGGAAACATAAGATTCACAGGTTTAAGACTGAAAACCAATTGACAGAAAGTGCATTATTTGTGTGGTGAGTAAAGAATTGCTAAACTCTTTGGTTTCTTTTTGTTTGGGTTTTCATTTTTTTCCCCCCACTATCTTGTGTGCAAATCAGATTTACCCTGTCAGGACAAGCAATAACTAAGCACAGCTAACAGGACTGTATGAAGTCTTTTATAAAGGAGACTCTAAACCAGTAACACTTTCTTTGTAAGTAAGAAGTTATGGGCTTGCAAACATTCAAGCATAATTTTCCCAATGAATGCTCCGCTTTACTTAAAACTACAATAGTCACACCATAAACATCACCAAGGCTTATTCACAGAAAACAATGAGACAAAGAAAACCAGCTGAACACGTTTTACCTACAGTGGAAGAAAATGTATGCAATGTGTATGTCACCATGGTGAAAAGAGGGAGATCCATTTTTGAGTGGGGAATGTGTTCTGCTACCACAGTGCTTTCACACAAAGCAGGCTTAAAGGGTGCACTGAAGCTGAACATCTAGAATTGTTCATACATAAACAAGAGTGTTTACATCATTGCAGTCTGCACTTCTCTGCAGACAACAGAGCACCACCAAAAAAAGTTTACATGGCCCACAGTGAGGCTTGG